CTTGAGTGTGGCTCTTCCTAAGCCTTAGGAGTACCCTAATTAAGTTAATAACAATGTACCTACCTATATAGTTTAAGTTTAAAAAATTTGGCTCTCAAAAGAAATTTCAATCGTTGTACTGTTGATATTTGGCTCTGTTGACTAATGAGTTTGCCGGCCACTGACCTAGACAACTCTTTGGAGCTCCAGCTTCATAGCCCTGGTGGATGTCTTCTCCCAGATGTCACGCCCAGGCAGCTGGGGTACAACATGTGCAGATGGAATCCACCATCTCAGCATGCTGTTCTTCGCGTTTCTCTCTACCATCGAAAGAACACCACCCACTCACTCACGTCGGAAATGTGGATGCCCTAGGCTCCTCTTGCCAGTATTCCTGCCGTGTCAGGCCCGGACTGCACTTTCAGTGCGGCCGGGTAGATGAGTGAGCCTTGGATTTCCATACTGACCTTCTCAGTAAAATCATGTATGTAGGCGTTGGTTGGTTCCATTCCTATCCCAGACATTGAGCGCATCACTGACTTCTCATTCAAAACTTCATCCTCTCTGCCACTGCCCCAGCTCAGAACACCCCCATCTTCCCCCGAAGACTACCAGACGTTTCCATCTCGTCTTATCTTTGATCTCGCCCCCACTCCAATCTGCTGCCAGGCTGCCAGTCCCCTACGCAAGCCTGATAGTGCCATGTCGTTCTCTGGCACCCACAGGACGTATTCACTGGCAGGACCCTCCACTTCGGCTACCCGGATCACTCTCCATCCTCCAAATCCATGACTTTGCACATGACGATGCTTTCATCGTCCAGATGTCCTTCCTGCCTCTTCTCCCACCTGCAGAAGAGCTCATCCTTACGACTTGGTGAATCAGACTGGAATTAGAATTAAGTGAGAATTTTCTTTGTATTGCACCCCAGCCTGGCCTGGTAATTACTTCTGTTATCACAAGGTTTTTCTGTGGATTTCCTATGTTACTTGGGTAACATAGGATGCTTCTTTGCTCATTTTATTTATGTAACAGAGGACCTTTCTGCCATTTCTTTAAACATTAAATAGAAGAAAGGATGCAGAACTAAAAAAAAAAAACAACTTGGTAAAAAATGTCACTATGAAAATGAAAGAAATTATACATGCCACATTGGCTAAAGGGGCTCACTGACCAAGTCAAGCCTGGTGCCGAGGAGGAGAGAAACTGAAAAAAAGTAAGAAAAACAGTAATTTAAAATATCTAATCTAATGAAAGAGAAACATGCAAATTGACAGTACCTCTGCTACACGCACAAGCCATGCCCACAAGCCAATCAGGGGCAAATATGCAAATTAACTCAAGTAAGATGGCAGCAGCCACGGAGCTGGAGCTAGCAGGAGGCTTAGGTTGCCCCCGGTGATGGAGGAAGCCAAGCTTCCCACCTGCCCTGTGGCCCTGAGCTCTGCTCAAGGCTACAAAGTTTCAATTATAGAAGATGAATAAATCCCAGATACCTGCTTCCAGCCCAGGGCTGTGGCCAGCCTGAAAACGGCCATCAGCCTCTCACCCAGGCTGGCCAGGCACCCCAGTGGGGACCCCCACCCTGAAGGGGGTGTGACTAGCCTGCAAACAGCCCTCAGCCCCTCACCCAGGCTGGCCAGGCACCCCAGTGGGGACCTCCACCCTGAAGGGGGTGTGACCAGCCTGAAAATGGCCATCAGCCCCTCACCCAGGCTGCCCAGGCACCCCAGCGGGGACCTCCACCCTGAAGGGGGTATGGCCAGCCTGAAAACAGCCATCAGCTCCTCACCCAGGTTGACCAGGCACCCCAGCAGAACCCCCACCCTGATCCAGGACAACCTTCAGGGCAAACCAGCTGGCCCCCATCCATGCACTAGGCCTCTATCCTATATAATAAAAAGGTAATACGCAAATTGACCCTGACAGCAGAATGACTGGTCACTATGACACACACTGACCACCAAGGGGCAGACGCTCAATGCAGGAGCTGCCCCCTGGTGGTCAGTGCATTCCCACTGGGGGAGCTCTGCTCAGCCACAAGCCAGGCTGATGGCTGCCAGTACAGTGGTGGTGGTGGTGGGAGCCTCTCCCACCTCCTAAGCAGCTCTAAGGATGTCCGACTGCAGCTTAGGCCTGCTCCCTGCTGGCAAGTAGACATCCCCCGAGGGCTCCCAGGCTGCCAGAGGGATGTCTGACTGCCAGCTTAGGCCCGATTCCCCAGGAGAGTGGGCCTAAGCCAGCAGGTGGACATCCCCCGAGGGGTCCCAAACTGCGAGAGGGCACAGGCCGGGTGAGGGACCCCTCTGAGTGCACAAATTTTTGTGCACCAGTCCTCTAGTATTTAAATAAACAATAGCAAAGAAAAAATGGAGAAGGGAAAATTTAATATTGAGATGGAGAGGATTTCCTAATCAAGAAAACTTGAAGCCACCAAAAAAAAAATCAAATCAATACAGACTAAACCACCTAAAAGTTAAATACTCCTGCACAAAGGTACAATAAACAAAGATGGAGAAAACACAAAAGGCAAGATATTTGACTTACTAATAAGAAAAGAATGAAACTCCAGAATTTAGTAAGAGCCTCACAAATTGATGGAATCACAGACAATTCAATGAAAAACTGGAGGGAAAACTTGATGGTACAACTGAGTCAGAAAGTCAGTCCTTCCACCAAATTCCAGAGGAAGCGAACAAGTACCTCCAGTTTTGCTGAGGGTTTTCTGTGGTTGTTGTTCTCAAAGAAAAACATCGGAAGAGAAAATACCGCTTCTCACCTCAGGTGTGTTTGATTGTGTCTCACAGGACAGCAATGCCTCCTAAGGGCTAATGCAGAGGGTGCAAGCTGGCAGTCTGCACGTTATGAAAAACGTTTTGAATTAGTTGTCATCTTTAAAAAACGTGGAGCTTTTTCCCTCATAAAAAAAGTACAGCTCCCACCCTAGCCAGTTTGGCTCAGTGGATAGCGCACCAGCCTGCTCTATCTGAAGGGTCCCGGGTTCGATTCCGGTCAAGGGCACCTGCCCAGGTTGCAGGCTCGATTCCCAGTGGGGGCCGTGCAGGAGGCAGCTGATAAATGATTCTCGCCCATCATTGATGTTTCTCTCTCTCTCTCTCTCTCTCCCTTTGTCTATGAAATCAATAAAAATCTATTTTAAAATATAAGCTCCCCCTGAGGGCAGGCAACACTGTGCTGGAGCCTGTGGCACCTGCACCTGCCCCTGTCCCTTTAGGGGAAGGCATGTCCCCCCGCACCCCCTCACCACACACACACACACACACACACACACAGCCCTCCTCCTGCAGGCAGCCTCCTGACCAGCCCCAGCCAGCACAGAGTTTACACTACACAGAACCGAACTTCCTGTGGCTGACATTTAGGCCCGTTTCAGTTCAGCCCATTTCTGCCTTCCTCAATCCCAAAGAGCTCAGCCCCTCCGACCACACAGCCCCCTTCGTCTCTCCGACTCCCACTGCACAGGGCCGCAACAAAAGGGGAGGACCTGAGGACCTGAGGCCTAGGATTTCGCTTCTAAATGAGGGGCTCAGCAGGCCTCTACATGAGGGGCCTAACCTCCCTGCGGGGTGGTGGAGCAGGACAGGGACCGGTCCTGAGTCCAGGGCCCCCGCTGTGATGGAGCCACGTCAGAAAACCGGACTTCCAGGTTGGCTCCCAATCTGCTGGACAGAGAACTTCATCTCTCCAGGCTCAGTGTCCTGGTCTATACTGTAAAAGGGGCTACACCCTCCACAGGGCTGTCAGGTGAAGGAAACAAACAAGTGTATGGAAGTGCTTGTAAGCATCTTCAAGTATAAAATAAGAGGGGTGAGGCCTAGGACAGAGAGGGGTGCTCTGGAGGAAGTGCCCAAAGGGGTGGGGAATCCCAGGTAAAGAGAGTTGGGTGAAGAGTCTGGACTGTGCGGCCTCGGTCCCTCCCACCCCTCCTCCTGCTTCCGGCCTCTCCCCACCTGTCTCACTGGGGGGCTGCTAAGCTCTCCCAGGATTGTCCAGGGCCAGGTCCAGGGGAGGAGGCCGGCTGGAAGGGAGGCAGGTGCTGTGCGGCCGGTCCTCCCAGCCTCCAGCTCGCGGACACCCGCTGGCCCCCGACACCGGCCGGCCCACGTAACCTACCCTTATCCCCACTGAACTCATCCAGGAACCGAGGTCCTTTCCCTCCAAAGCCACACCACCTCCGTCAAATGACCTGTTCTTGAAAGCACTTCCCCAAAGGTGATCAAAGGTACAAGCACAGCCCAGAGCTGCGGCCCCAAGTGCTGCGGCCCCAAGTGCTGCCAGCGCCCGGCTGGGCTGCGTGGTGGCTGGAGCGCAGAAGTCAAGTCGCAGAAGCATACCGGACGGCCCGCCCTCACCCCGCGGGCGTTTGCCAAAGGTGGCAGGGGTTAAGCTCTGACCCAGGGGAGCAGCAGGCCGGCCAAGCCCCCCAAAAGCTAGCCGGCTCTCCCTCTCACAGATCGGAGGGGCGGAGGCGCCACCCCGCGGCGCCAGGGCAGCCGGCGACTTCTGGGCGCGCCCCCCGCCAGGCGTGGCGAGACAGCGCCCTGAACCCCGCGGAGGATGCTGCTCACCTGGTCCTCGCGGCTCCAGCGCAGGGCGAGGCCGCTCTGCCCCCCACGCCTGTCCCCGAGCGGGGCCTGAGCCCCTCGGCCTGGGGGCGCACGACCCCAATGAGCCGGTCCCGGGCCCGCACCGCCGTCCTCCCTCTCCCGGGTCCTGGCAGCGGCTTAGGCGGCGCCGGAGACGCAGGGCGAGGCTGCGAGCAGGGCCACTGGGCAGCCCTGGCTGCCGGGAGGGGCGCGCCCCCCAGATCCTCCACAAAGAACTCGGGCTCCCACCGCCCGAGTGCGGCCGAGGGGACAGCCCTACCTCCGCGGGGCGGGGAGGCTTGGGGAGGGGCGCGGGGACCCCCGGGCCCGGCCCAGGCCCCGCCCCCGCCCTGCGCCCCCACCTCGGCCGCGCTCCATCCCGCCCGCGCCCGGCTCCGCGCCCCGCCTGCTCACCGAGGGGTCGCCGCCGCGGCAGCGCAGGGCCCGACCGGCCACCGCCCGCCTGGCCGCCGCCGCTTCCTTCCTCCCGGCCGCGCGGGACCCGAGGTTTCGGGTTTCAGCCCCGATCCCGCTCGCTCCTCCCGCCCGGCCGCCAGCACGCGGACCCGCGGGGCGCAGGCCGGGAACTTCGCGCCGCCCGCGCCTCCCCCCGCCCCCCGGCGCTGCCCCTCCAGGTCCTCACGCCCCTTCCTGCGCGTCCGCCCTCCCCCCGCCACCCCTTTTCCATTTCTTCCCAAGATCGGCCTTGGCGGCGGCTCTTTGTCTCGCCCTTACCTCTCGGCTCGCCCCACTCGGCGCCCGTAAACCCCCGAGGCCCCGGCCTTCCCGGTCCCGTCCCTCCGTCCCGCTTCCACTGCGGGGGCCTTCCCGGTCCCCTCTCCATTTCTCCCGGCATCACACTCATACTTTCGGATTCTTCCGGGCGGCTCCGCGCACCCCCGTCGCCGCCTCCAGCCTCGCCTGGACTCCTGGCATCCTTCCCTGCTCACCTTTCATTCATCCGGCCAACTTGTGAGTGTCTGCCTGGTGCCAGGCACTGTCCCGGCCCGGAGTATCACAGGAGCCACCGCGCAGCCTGCGGAGGGGACCCGCACCGCTTGGGGGTGACGGGGTGGATGTTTACCAGCCTGCTCTCCCCTCTCTCTGAGCCAAAAGCGCGATGCACACGGACTGGCGCTGCCAGGTCGCGGGACAGAACGGAGCCTCCTTAGAAGGGTTATGTCCCCTCTCCTGCGTTTTCTGTGCAGCAAACTTACCCAGAGGACGCAAAGTGCAAGCAAACAGTAAAACTGCTTTAAAAAGGGAGGGAGGGAGGGAAGAAGAGAGCAAGAGACCGGGCAGCAAAGAATCGGGTGGGAAGTTAAGTTCAAACTCCAGCGAAAATGAATGCTTTCCCTGGAGCAGGATTCAAATTCCCCAGAAATCCATCTACTTTGATAAATGCATTGATTATTCCCTTGTCTACAGATTGGCACTGTGGGAACTGCTTTCTTGTTATTATTAGGCCACTGAGGCGGCATTTAGAACAATAATTGACTATCCAGCACCTGCCAAGCACCCCGCTTGTCTTCAGGGACGCATGGGGGGTGGGGAGAGAGAGTGACTGGATGGCTTACCGTTCCTGTGGGACACGTGCTTCATTGGTCAGAAACGGGGCTGAAGCTCCTCTGAGTCCAGGTCACCAGCGAGCCAGGTGCTGAAGGATCCCAGCAGTCTGCTGTCCAGAGTAGTTTATACTTTTATTCTGAAATCCCGTTATTATGAATTTTTCATTTGCACTGATTCCCACACTGGCAAAGACTTGGGACCTTGGGGGAAGTTATTTAACCTTTCTGAACCTCGGCTTTGTCGGACATAATCTAGGCACACTCCTGCCTGCCTATCTGTAGACTTTAAAAGATGAATTGAGATAATGTACGTAAATCCCCTAGAGCCATAGAACCCGAGAGCCGAGCCCTTTGAAAATTGGAATTAGAGAAAGGTCTGAAAATATATGGCATAAACTAACATGGAGAGAATGAAAACCTACAGTTATGGCTCTTTGGGCTCCATATGCACCCATGATGCAAAAACTGCCCATCCCATACTTCATTCCATTGTGAACTCTTCAAATGAAAACATTTGTTTCTCCTGCTGCTCATTATCAAATATATTATTTATCACAAAGGTTTTTCTTCCCATCACTCAAGAGCTCAGAACTTGCTGTTCATTCTAGGATAGAAATTGCTGCCAACAAGTGCATCTTTTCAATTGCTCTTAAGATTGGTTTTTGTTTCCTGTAGAGCTAATATTGAGCCAGGAACAATATTCAGTCAAATGCAGAGAAAACAAAAATTATTTAAGTAACGATTTCACTATATATCGCTGTACAGGTGACAGTTGTGTGAGAAACAACATTGATTTGAGCAAGAATTTTTTTTTCCAAAAAAGTTAGGGAAAGATATAAAATAATTCTCCTTTCCCAGATCAATTTCATAAGCTAATTCCCCTTGGGACACCCCCCCGCCCCCCCAAAAAAAGACTTCTGTACTAAAATAATGAGAGGTTTTGCCCAAGTGAACCCTAAATGCTCATGAGGAATCGACATATGATGAGACATCTTTGGTACAAAATATCTTCTCAATCCAAATAAAATTAGTCAAAGCAAAATCAGGAAGTTTGCTGTCTGTTCCAGAAGGAATATTATTTCCCCATACTCACGGCTGGATCCTTCAGCCCCTTCACATCTGAGTGTCAGTGCCACCTCGGAGAAGTCTACCCCCACCCATCTGAAAGGCATGCGCCACCCTCTGCTCTGGGAGCTCTCTGTTCTTTTCCATAGTGAATCTAAGAATCAAGTGAATAAATAATCTGATGAACAGAATGAACTGGTGATTATAATAGAATCAGGGACATAGAAAGGGAATGGACACTATTCTTGGTGGGGAAAGGGGTGTGGGAGATTCGGGAAGAGACTGGACAAAAATCGTGCACCTATGGATGAGGACAGTGGGTGGGGAGTGAGGGCGGAGGGTGGGGTGGGAACTGGAAGGAGGGGAGTTATGGGGGGAAAAAAAGAGGAACAAATGTAATAATCTGAACAATAAAGATTTAATAAAAAAAAAAGAAATCTATCCCGTTATGACATTTTTTTCTGTTTATCTGTTTTTAGTATGCCTCCAGTGGTAGACATAATTCCATGGCAGCAACCCTGTCTGTTTTATTCACCACTGTAGGCCCAGGGCCTGACCCAATAAAACATTTTAAATACATTAAAGAAAAAAGGAAATAAATAAAAGCATGTCTTCAAAGGCCTCTGGCTCTCAAACTTTTGGATCTATGAGGATCTCTTGGACTTTCTTAGATACAACACCAAAGGCACAAGTAATTAAAGAGAACCTGGATATCTTGGATTTTTATTAAAATTAAAAGCTTTAAAGCTTCCAAGGACACCATGAAGAAAATGAAAAGACAACTCACAACCTGGGATAAAATATGTGCAATTCACCTATCTGATCAGGGACTTGCATCCAGAATATATAAAGAACTCCTACAACTCAATAATAAAAAGATAAACAACCCACCTTAAAAATGGGCACAGGATCTGAGCAGACATTTCTCCCAAGAAGATGTACCAATGGCCACTACGCACAGAACAAACTGTTGGACATCACTGGTCATTAGGGAAATGCATACCAAAACAACACTTTTAGCCCTGACCTGGTAGCTCTGTTGGTTAGAGCATCATCCCGATGAACCAAGGTTGCAGGTTCGATCCTTGATCAGGGCACATACAAGAAGCAACCAATGAATGCATGAATAAGCAGAACAACCAACAATTCCCTGTTTTTTCTCTCTCCCTTCCTCTTTCTCTAAAAATCAATCAATCAATCAGTAAAACAAAAACAATTTTACGCCCTAACCGGTTTGGCTCAGTGGATAGAGTGTCGGCCTGCGCACTGAAGGGTCCCGGGTTCCATTCCAGTCAAGGGCATGTACCTTGGTTGTGGGCACATCCCCAGTAGGGGGTGTGCAAGAGGCAGCTGATCGATGTTTCTCTCTCATCGATGTTTCTAAATCTATCCCTCTCCCTTCCTCTCTGTAAAAAATCAATAATATATATATATATATATATATATATATATATATATATATATATACAGTTTTACTTCACACCCTCAATTGATGGCCATAATAAAGAGGGCAATGACAAGTACCGTGGAAGGTGTGGAGACACTAGAACCTTTGTTGGGATTTAAATGATGTCTCCATAAAAGCTGTTTTACAATGAAGAGAAACTCTAGGGAGGTTTGTTAAAATGCTGAGTTTCAGGACCCATTCCCAGAGACACTGTCTGCAGAAATTGTGGATAGTTGCTGTCTGTTCAGTATCCATAGTTCCCTTTGGGAAAAACATTGCTTCCGTCTGGGGGTCAGCTATGGGGTTTGCATAGCAGTGATGTCCCCCCAGGTCCGGAGGTGGGCTCGGATTGTCAGCATTTCCCATCTTTTTCAGCCACGTGGTCAGTTCAGAGATGGAGACTGGTCAGAGCGAAGCCTCAAGGACATTTTGTCGAGAATACTGGGTGGAGCCAAAATTTAGGAAACCGAGTACAGAAAAGGGGAGGGAGGTGAGAAATAGGGAAAATTAGATGCTGGCTAAATAGGGAAAATTAGATGCTGTGTGGCCCTGGATGAAACCTTCCCTGAAGTTGTACCCCTGGACTAATCAGTTATGAAAGCCAATAAATATTTGTCTGTTAAGCGTATATGGGTTTATTTCTGTTATTTGAAGCAGAAAGCATCTAATTCAGTGTTTCTGAGTATGACATTCTGGAACCCTGGGGGTGCTTTGGGGTTGTCATAATGATTAGATGACACTCCTGGTATTTAGTGGGTAGGGACGCGGATGCCAGACATTGTGCAGTGCAGAGGACAGTCCAAGACTAAGAGCAATTCCACTCTGCTATTGTTATTACTTCTGGGTATGGTGTCGATTGGGAAAGTTGCCCACATTATTAACATACATGACTTTTGAAAGATCCCCAAAACTGAAATTCTTTGGCATGGTTATGTTACACACCAGTTTGTTCAGGAATACCATTCCTGTGTAAACTGAGGAAAACATGTGTTTTGATTTGTTCAAAACTCATCAAGCGTTGTTCATCATTTTTTGCCCTAGCCGGTTTGGCTCAGAGGATAGAGCATCCACCTGTGGACCAAAGGGTCCCGGGTTTGATTTCGGTCAAGGGCACGTACCTCGGTTGCAAGCTCCTCCCCAGCCCGGGCCCTGGTCAGGGCTCGTGCAGGAGGCAACCAATGTGTTTCTCTCACATTGATGTTTCTCTGTCTTTCCCTCTCTCTTCCACTCTTCCTAAAATTCAATGAATACCCTCGGGTAAGGATTAACAAAAAAAAAAAAAAAAAAAAGAATTCATCATTTTGGAAAATCTTATCACTGTGATCAGTGGCACTCATGGCGTCAGATTTACCAAGTTAGGGGACTCTGTCACATTCTCCCAGAAACAGTCTTAATCAACCAGTCTGGACTCTCTCTGGCCAACCACCAGCAAGATAATCTGTTCCATGAGCTCTCCATCCCCCATAGAAAGAAGAGGCAATCTGAATGATAAAATCCCTCCTGTTCTCATCTCCCTAAAGAAAAGATGT